CTCCAATGAATGGGTGCAGCTTTCTGGCCAGTCAGATCACATTGCAGGTTTGGGGCTATGGTAATTTTTATTCCAAAATGGAAGGAAACATTTTACCTTTAGTCCTTAGAATGAACCTCAGAATACTGTCTCTTTTTATTGGGGGTTTCTATTCCTAAGGGCATGTCTACACTGCAGGGCAAAAGTCAAATTAAGATAGCTAAAGTTATCTATGTCTATTGCATAAGTTGAAATAGCTTAATTTGGCTTTTGGCACTGTCTACACAGCAGGAAGTCAAAGGAAAAACACTCTTCTTTCAACTTCCCTTACTCTGGTACTTTATCAGAGGCAGCGGGCGGGAATGTGTGTAGTAGACAAGATTAACCGATAATCTCAGATTTATCAGTTAATTGTGTAGTTCTCTGCACGCTGAAATTCCTAATACAATTTACTGACAAGCTCCTGTCAAGTATTCAATTCAAAACTTTGTGTACTCTTCTAGTGCTTTTTCATTAACTAATCTCTAATAAATTGTTTTTAATTTCAGCTCTCAAGAAAAAAATAATTTCACTTTCATGGGAGACAGTGGATTGGTACATGTGTAGCAATTATCTGTGTTAGAATTTTATACAAAGAATTATAAACCTACCAGCACACATCCTGCATTCTCATTAATGGAAAACAGTTAGCAGTTAACAAGGGAGTTTCCAGTGAAACCATTGGGCTCATGGCAGCTGTTAACTTTCTTTCATGTTTTTTCTTCCCATCCAAGTCACCTATAAAAACCCTAATTTATAATCTCTCATGTGGGCATATGTGAGTGAGAGTGAAGTGAACACTTTTTCTTAAAAATTATCCTTGGGCTGCGGAAAGGCCTGGCTCGGGGCCTTTTGCGAGGCTAATCAGAACAAACAGTGCACCTTTGCTGTGAGGAGAGACAGTTCCCCATTGGAAACTTTTGGGTCCCATAGCCTGCCCATTTGTCCAAAACAAAGAGCTGGACTTTGCTGTTTCCTATGCTGCTCCTATCCCCATCTAACTCCAGTGACCTCAAAGTGGCCATTCTTGATTTGTGGCCACTCTTGATTTGGGTTCCTCAGAGGAAAATCATGCCCATAAACGCTGCCTTTGAAATCTTCCAGCACTGCAGCTTTGTGTTGCCTTAGGCTGTTGATTCTTCGGTGGCCTCCCTATAGGGGTGCTTATCCTGCATTCCCTAGTCCTGTCTACCAGGCTCCTGCTCTGGCAATCAGTATCAGAATGGTTCCTTGCTTTTGAACTGAGCAGTTCTGCTGTACTCATTTCATACGATTTTGCTCCTGGAAACAAAGTCAGCTGTCTGAAATGGATGCAGCGAGGTAGCCATTTTAAATATGGTTCTAACTGCCTTCATAGACCACCTCCCCTGCGCCTCAGCTCTCCTATCCCCCTGCTCAGGTCCCTTTCAACATCTCCCCCCTTTGCTCCTTCCCACTGGGCTTCCAATGGGTCACTGCCCACATCCCACATGTCACTTGGTAGCTGAAGAGTGGACATGGGGCCTGCCCACCTTGGTGTCAACTGCAATATCCCCCTGGCTTCCGCAGCAACAGCAGCATGAGGCCCTGAGTCACAATACTCAGAGTGCGATGGTCCTAAAATGGGCGGAACTGCCCCCCACCCCTGCTTTTGGTGGCCAGTCTCAAGCAGACTGAATGGAAGCTGGTGAGTGAACACCCAGCATTAACCTTCCAAACTGGACTCTGTGCTGCAAAGCACAAAACCGGCCGTAAGGCGCTGGCCTGTGTGTGGGGCACTAAGAGGGTCAAAGCGTAAGGCAGGTGGGAGGCTGCATAAACACTCTGTGACTGCAAAGTCATACTTGACGTCCTGTTAGTTAACCAGCCAATGGGAGGTGAGAGATTGTGCTGAGGGGGGGAACAGCCAATGGAAGCCAGCCAATGGGAACTGAGAGATTGTGCTGGCAGTAGAGGCAGCACGTGCGAAGAATTCACCCCTTTTCCTTCTGTGCGGCAGAGAGGAATATGGAGCAGCCAGCCTCTCTGAGCCCTAGGGTTGCCTGAGGGGGCCGGCAGGACAGGCTGCAGGCCAGATTAAAAGGCTTAGTGGTCCAGATGCGGCCTACAGGCCACATCTTGCCCACTGCTGTGACAGATGATGCTGACGTTCTCACTGTGGGGGAACCTCAGGGAGAAGAAATATTCTGATCTCCACAGATGGCTGATGAGGTTGTTGAGCCCTTGCATGGGGCAGAGAATGAATGTCATGACTGGGAAGGATGTGCAGATGGATCCCCCAAAGTTATGCAGATGAGCCCCCCCTTTAGAATACGAAATAATCCACCTGAAATCACCTGGGAGATGGGGATGTTTCATCCCCACTGCCCAGATCTGGAAGTGGTGGGATTATGTCATGCACAGAGTTTGGCAGAGTGGGGGCTTGAGTCCAGATCTTGGGCTTGAATTCTTTCCTTTGCCCAGGCAGGGTAAAAACAGAAGCACCCCATTCCCCATGCACCTTAGAAGCATTTCCTGGGCGGGTAGAGCCCCTTCACTGCTGAGCACCCGCAGCAATACCAGGCCTGCCGCCCCCAAAGGAACAACATATCCCTGCTTGTCTGACTGACCTCAGGACCAGCTCCCAGAGAGCATCGCAGCACTGAGGTGTAAGAGAAAGGAGGACTCCAGAGAGATCCACCTGAGTTCTTATCTGTTTCTCACCCCTTTCACCCTCTATCAGGGCACCAAATGAGAGGTCCACACACAAAAGTATAAAGGAAACTAAACTTTATTACCTATAGGATAGGGAAGGTAAAAAGGACTAGGGAAGGACAGAATAACTGGGTCTGGAAACTGCGGGAGTCACACACAACAGTAGGGACACAGAGGAGGGTAGCCGGAGTTAGGCCTCCTGTCTTACCCAGCTCCAGGGAATGCTGACTTCAAGCCTGCTCACCAGATGACAGGGGTCGGGAACAACTCAGTGACAGTAGGCGCCTAGGCTGGGTCCTAACTCAGACCCTACCCTAACCCCTTTGTGCCATCTTGGGTGTGTGTTAGCCCTGTCTAACCTGATGAGCCGTGTGTGCAAGCATGCTTCCCAATAATCAAATACACTGTCTGATGTTACCCCGCCTGACACTCCAAACCAGTGACCAATTCTCTGACCAGCACTCACTGCACCCTGTCAGTGAGCAGGCTGGAGGAAGAGAGCCCCAAGCACTCTGAGTGCCCCCTAGCGGCAGAGTAAAAACAGAAGCACCCTAGTTCCCATGGCTTTTAGAAGCATTTCCTGGGCGGGTAGAGCCTCTTCACCACTGAGCACCCGCAGCAATACCAGGCCTGCCGCCCCCAAAGGAACAACACATCCCTGCTTGTCTGGCCGACCTCAGGACCAGCTCCCAGAGAGCATCGCAGCATTGAAGTAGGTTGACACTGAAAAGAATCCTGAGTCCTATTAGCAAAGGTGAAGATTAAAGGGACAATGGGTAAGGATCATGGACACAGAAGGGTCACATGATCCTTTCTCCTCTCACATCCTGGAGATCGGCTCTCAAGCACCTGGGACTTCGACAAGTGGCCTGGGAGGCGTCCCCAGGAGCAGCATGGAGCCCTGGCACTAAAGTTTGTAGGCTCTTTGAGGGCAGAGACCATTTCTGTTCTGTTTGTTCAGAACCTAACACGCTGTGTCCCTGGTCCTCTGGCACAACTGCACCATTAGTAAGTGCCAGTGTTCCCTCTAAGCTGTGCACTTGGGCAGCCGCCCAGGAGAGATTCGAATGCTACCCATCCTGGACCACCAACAGGGGAGGAGGTGCAAAGAGGGCAACTACACAGGGGCCCGGTGGAATTAAGGAAGCCCCGGGACAGCTGTGCAGCAGTGGCAGCCCTGACCTGGTCCTTTTAAATAGCGCTGCTGATGCAGCATGGCAGCAACTGTGAGGAGCCCTGAGCTTGGATCTGTGGAGCAGCAGGTTGGGAGGAGGGCGCTTCCGGCTGCTTTAAGCCCCTTCCTCAGCTTTGCAGAACGATGGTGGCAGCAGAGCCAGGGGGTGGGGCAGGCAGAGTTTCTTGCTGCTTTGAATCTTCCCCTGGGTCCATGGAGCGGCAGGGCACGGGGAGAGGGGCAGAGCAAGAGGGGAGAGATTGGATACTATATCCTGGTTTTGGGACCACAATTTAAAAAGATGTTAAACAATTGGAGAAGGGGCAGCAAAGAGCCCAATTTTTTGAGGGCTGAAGAAAAAATTCTTGTGAGCTATTGAAAGAGGCCCAGTCTGTTTAGCTTCTACAAAGGAAGGCTGAGAGGTGACTTCATGGAAGTGTCTAAGTGCCTACCTGGAAAGAAAATATCAGAGATGAAAGGGCTGTGTAATGTTGCAGAAAAGGAGAGAACAAGATCAGTGAGTTGGAAGGTGAAAACAGACATATTCATATTAGAAATAAGGCACAACTATTTCACAGTGAGGATGATTCATCATTGGAAAAAATTACCAAAGCTAGTGACAGATTCCCCATTTCTTGATGTCTTCCAATGAAGACTAGATGCCTTTCTGGTGTGTTCTTGGTTCAACTTATCTACTAGATGCCCCCATTTCTTGACTAGACTAGATGCCTTTCTGGTGTGTTCTTGGTTCAACTTATCTACTATGATATGAAGGAGGGCTCAATATGTGGGGGTCAGATTTAATGCTCTAATGGTCCCTTCTGGCCTGAAAGCCTACGAATGAATGAAAAACGGTGTGTGGCCTAGGAAGCAGCACCTGGGGCTTTACAGTGCAGCCAGTTTGACCCACAGGCTCAGTGATCACGAAGTGGGATGATCCAGGGTAAGATGCTCAAACATTGAAAGAAGCTGGCCAGGGTCAGGACACCCATCTTACATGGCAGGGGTGGGTGTGGCAGTGACATCACAAAGGCCTGTTGCAGGACCTCAGACTACTAGGGGACAGTGGTGGGGACATGGTGACCTCACAGAGAGACCCTGACATCATCCAGGCAGTTCAAAGGCGCCAGGCAGGGGCAACCTCAGAGACTCCTGTGGCTTTGCAGCAGCAAGACCTCTTCTCAAGGTGTCTCCTTAGGGACTGACAGAGAATTAGGATGAATGTACATGAGCATGAGGAAGAACATGACTGGCGTTTTCTCCTTTCCTACTGCTGATTTTGTAGTCCCTGTTTAGAAGGTAACAGTCTCAGAGAGGTCTGGAACCTGTGCAGTCTGATCCGCTTGGTACCAGCTGAATTTTAGGGATAGAAATCACTAGATTAAGGTGATTTGATTTCTAACCAAAGAGTCCCACAAATCATTGAGGGCACTAGGAGTTTGTCTTTTTAGGTTTTCCCTTTCGTCCTTCCTTCCCTCTTTCTCTTCTTCTCTTGCTCTTTTCCCCCCTTTTCCATTCCTCCCTGCCTCCACCTGGGAAGGGGTGTGTGTGTGTGTGTGTGTGTGTGTGTGTGTGGTTGCTGTCACTGTAAGAGGCCCTCACAAAGAAGGGAGGCTGGAAGAGAGCTCAGAAACTGATCCCCTCCAGAGGTGACCTGGGCCAATTTTTGGACTTCTGCTGAGATTGCTCCATCTCCCAGCTCTGTCGATGTTGATTGGCCAAGCAGGTGGCTATTGACTGGGAAGACTCAGGTCCTTTTGTTCTCTTTAAGACAAAACAAATAAGTCACAATCATGTATTTGATTGATGGTGCTGCTTCTCTGCAATTTTTGTCTCTGCACAGTTCCTGATTCGCTCTACTGTGCCAGTTCTTCTCAAATACTTGCAGAATAATGACTATGAGCAATTGTTGGTCTGTAGCTTATTTGAGAGCACTATTCTGATCAATCAATGAGTCTCAAGGTACTGGCTACGGGCAGGACATCAGGGGTGGGTGTGGCAGTGACATCACAAAGGCCAGTTACAGGACCTTAGTCTATTGGGGCACAGTGGTGGGGAGGTGGTGACCTCACAGAGAGACCCTGAAATCAACCAAGCAGGAAAGAGATGCAAGGCAGGGACAGCCTCAGAGACTAAGGCTTCCCCTTATAGCTTTGTGGGAAGCCATCCCAAAGAGGTGGGGCTGAAATAAGTTTGAGACATCCCCTGTGATGGTGACCTGAGTCATCCTTTGGGACATCTGCTGAGACCTCTCAGCCTCCACCTTCTTTGAGTTTTGATGCTGTCCATGAATCAGGAGTTTAGAAAGGACGAGACCAGGCCAGACACCGAGCATTGTCCCACTTTAGAGAGACAAAGACACATTGTGACAATTCCCTTCTCAAGTGCCAAGCTCAATGAATCAAATATTCCACCCAGAGCACAATGTCTCAGACCCCGGAATGGAGGTGGGCACATTTGCACAGCATGTGCACCGGTCTATTGATCCTGACCTGCTTCCTTCACCCACCATGGGTCAGCTTCTGCATCAGGTCCAGAGTGTCCCAAGAGTCAGCCAAGACTGCAAGGAGCAGCAGAGCCCAGTTCTGATTTATCATCCCCCACCCTGAATTTGATACAAGTGACCTGAGTTTCCTGGCACCAGGCGTAGGCAAGCGGCTCCGACAGGCTGTAGGACCTGCAGGGGCTGTGGGGTGAGAGTGTTCCCCTTGGGAAGGTAGAGTCAGAGCAGGGAATGAGATAGACTTAAGTCAAGTTCATCTCGGTCAGTGGAGATCCTGGGACGTTAAGGGGATCATGTTCCAAATCCAGCTCCAGCCAGGTTCATGCCCAGGCTTGCGTCCCTTCTTGTCATCCTGGAGCAGCTGGGGGTCCAACTCCACATCCCTTTGCTCCAGGATCCCTTGGGGGGCAGAAGGAGCCGAGGGTTTTGCTCTAGCTTCTCTCTCCCAGTGTCTCCAGCACAGGGACTTGGGGGAGAGAGACTCCTGGCTCAGGGGAGATTGGAAGCTGACTGTAGAAGCTGATGGAGCCCCCCTCTCCTTTCCTTCCATTAGAACTCAGCTCAGTGCCCCGAAGTACGGAGCTTAGTGACTTAGCTGCAAGAGTCCATCAGTGACCCAGCTTAGGACACCAGCCGGCTGGCCGGGAGGGGGATTTACCAGCTCTACAAACTGCTGCTCCACCAGAGGTGAGAAACCCAGCTGGGAAATGGGATCCAATAGAAAAGTGACACTGACAGAAGCCAGACATTTCCCTGATGAAATGATCCACCTCCCATCTGAAACTGTCCCCGACTGGTAATTGGAGCCCTGTTGAAACTCATCACATCATATATATAGTAGCCCAGTGTCTGAGAGTCTGTAACGCCGAAATGCTGGCTGTTCCCTCTGGGCAGCCCATGCTGCATGGAGAGTGAGGGGCCCAAATGGCCGCTTGCTCCCCCGCGGAGGCCCGGCTGAGCGGCGCAGAAGTCAGCCGAGTACCACAGTGGGAGGCGAAGGTGGACAGGGTGGTGATGTGCGGCGTGACAGTAGCTCCAGGCCCCGCTCTCCGCTGTGGTGCTCGGCTGACTTCTGCGCTGCTTAGCCAGGCCGCCGCGTGGGAGCAAGCCTTGCAAGCAACCGTTTGGGCTCCGCACCTCCCATGCAGCACGGGGAGTGTGGAGTCCGAACGGCCATTTGGGCTCTGCGGTCCCCCGAGTGAGAGGCAGGAGGGGGAGGAGAAATGAAAGAGAGAGACAGAGAGAGAGGCAGGAGGTGGAGGAGAGCTGAGAGAGAGAGAAGGGGAGGAAGTAGGAGGAGGAGGAGAGAGAGAGAGACGGAACGAGAGACCGGAGGCTCAGGAGAGAAGACCGACATGGAGGAGAGACCTGAAAATCCCATCTTATGATGGGCTAATTGGATGGTCGTCTGAGATTGGCCCTAGCTGGAGGATGAGTCTGTCTCTCATTCTCCCCCATTTCCATTTAGGATCAGCCCCCCTCCCCAAGCACCGAAGATACTCCATCCACCTTAGGGAACCCAGCTATTCTGTGGGGGCAGAAGATACAACCCAATGGGAATGGACAAATATAGCCACCAGAACCAGACAGAGCAATCTGAGAGAAGCTTCTAAGGAATAGCTGTCATAGGCAGGCAGAGGGAATGGAGGCAGGAACTCCTACACTGGAGTAGGAGGGGTCTGCCACTGAAGGTCACGACAGAGGAAGACAAGTCCATCCCAGGGTGACAGTTGCCAATCATCCTTCCTGATTCCTGGGGGCATCCAAGTCACTGACGCACCCTTGTTCTCTTGAGGCAGGAGGACATAGAAGAATATCACTGCTTTCCATCGCAGGTAAGATCCTTGCACGAGTGTTGCTGAATCGTCTGATTAACCACCTGGAACAGGGTTTATTACCCGAGACACAGTGCGGCTTCCGCAAAGAGCGTGGCACGGTGGATATGATCTTCGCAGCCCGACAGCTTCAAGAGAAGTGTCAAGAGCAGAATCGTGAACTGTACACCACCTTCGTGGATCTCACCAAGGCTTTTGACACTGTCAGTCGCGAAGGTCTGTGGCGCATCATGTCGAAGTTTGGGTGCCCTGACAGATTCATCTTGATGGTACGTCAGTTCCACGACGGCATGACGGCTCGTGTTTTGGATGATGGAGAAGCTTCAGAGGCCTTTCCCGTCACAAACGGCGTCAAGCAAGGGTGTGTGCTGGCACCGACCCTGTTCAGCATAATGTTTTCAGCCATGCTGTCAGACGCCTTTCAGAACAGTTCCTTGGGAATCAGACTGAGATACAGGACCGATGGGAAATTGTTTAACCTGAGAAGACTCCAGGCTGTCACCAAGATAAAAGAGACTGTGTTACGAGATCTCCTTTTTGCTGATGACTGCGCCCTGAATGCTGGATCAGAGCAGGAAATGCAAGCCAGCATGGACAAATTTGCAGCAGCATACGACAACTTCGGCCTTCTCATCAACACAAAGAAAACCGAAGTGATGCACCAGCCAGCTCCAAAAGCTCAGCATCAAGTGCCCACCATCACAGTGAAGGGACAAAAGCTGCAAGCAGTGGACCAATTTACATATCTTGGCAGCACCCTCTCCCGCTCAGTGACAATTGACATCGAGGTCAACTGCAGAGTCGCCAAGGCAAGCTCTGCGTTCGGCAGACTGTTGACCAAAGTGTGGGACCGCCGTGGACCATATACATTGTACAAAGACACCTGTTACTTACCCAGGAACAAAAATGATGTGTCTACATGCCACTTATATCAGCCAGAAATTATACTGAGAAAAAACCTCCAATTTATTTTAGGTCTTTTTGTGTATCTCTGCTTTCTGAGCCTCGAGGACATACTTGAGTTATGTTTTTAGCCTTTTCTCTGCAAATCTGAGGACTTGAAACACTTTTTACATGAGGGTGCCTCTACACTCCAGAGCCTATGTTGAGATAGCTATACCTACATAGCCCCCAGCTTTGATTCAGCTGTCATGCATAGAAGGAATTTTTCTGTTGGCATAACAGCACCACCTCCCCAAACAAAGCTCTCTTTGGCTGTCTAGACTACTTCTCTCTGTAGACAGAGAGATGTAGATTAGGCATGTCAAAATTGCTAATGAAGCAGAGATTTAAATATCCTGCGCTTCATTAGCATTAACATGGCCGCCGCTTTTTTTCAAAATGGAGCTTTTTCGAAACCACCCCCCAAAAAAAGGCAATCTAGACACAGATCTGTCAAAAATAAACCCTTTTTCGACAGATCCTGTAAAGCTCATTTTTTGAGGAATGCAGGATCTGTTGAAAAGGGGTTTATTTTTGACAGATCTGCGTCTAGACTGCCTTTTTTTTTTTTTTACTGTTTCGAAAAAAAGTGGTGGCCATGTTTATGCTAATGAAGCATGGGATATTTAAATCTGACTTCCTTAAGCAGTTGGACACCATAAAAAGATAACAGTCTACTACTGCTGACAGCTAGGACAAGTATTCTTCCTAGCCTTAGACTCATAGCTTGAGCTATGCCTACCAGTCAGAGCAGTGGCTGTCCGAGAGCAGGATTCAGAGACATGGGTCAGAGCTGGGGTCAGGAGTCCAAGAGCAAGTCAAAAGGCAGGTCCCATTGACTCAGACTTTAGGGCAAAAGGGATCATCATTATGGTTGTCTGGTCTGGTTTAGGGCATCATGATCATCTGGTCTCACTTCCTGTACGTTGCAGGCCACAGAACCTCATCCTTCCACTCCTCTAATAGGCCCATAGTCTCTGACTGAGTCACTGAAGTCCTCAAAGCATAATTTAAAAATGTCATGTTATGGAGAATCCACCATTTACACTAGTTGAAATCAGCAAGTGACCCTTGCTCCATGCTGTGGAGTAAGGCGACCTTGTCCACCCAACCCCCAAGGTCTCTGCAAATCTGACCCATTGAAAATTCCTTCTCACCCCCAAAACATGGCGTCAGTCAGAACATGAGTATTTTTGGCAAAATCCACCAGCCAAACAGCTGGGAAAAAAATCTCTGTAGTAACTCAGAATGTTCAGAATGAAATCTTTGAGCCAGATTTTCCATGTGAATGCATGCACAGGTATGTACCAAATTTCTGAGTGCAATAGAAATGGCTTCACATGCAAATCAAATAGCCACTCCTGTACAACAGGCATTTGTACATATTATCCCAGTTATTGGTCATATACATTAGGAGTGTATTTGTTCAGCTAGCTAATTTGAAAATCTGGTTTGTAAATGTAACAACTACAAGACTGCTGGAAGTTAGCACTATTCAGAGCATCATTGGACATGTTCTGCATCTAGATTCTGTAGAGAAGCCCTCTGGTTGGCAAGTCTAACAGACTATTTCCAAAAAGTATATTACAGTATACTTGATATATGACAGTATACATGAGCCTGGATATCTCCCAAAAGGAAAGTATAAACTGTGGGGGGAAATAGGGTTATTATGTAAAACAAAGTGAAAAGGATGATTCCTGTTCATGAAAAAGCATCAAAAGTATTGCTTTTGATGAAACTAAAAACCTCCTGTGACTTTAAATGGGTGCTGGCACAAAGTCCATAGCATCAGCTGTCAAGCTTCGTTTTCTGCCTCTTGGATCCCAGCTCTGGCCCATGCCATTTTATGCCAGGGTCTAGGCAAATCTAGAGTTAGTTTGAAGAAGGGGCATATATTTTTACCATTGCTCAGGGCTTCAATATTCATTGGTGGAACATTCAGGTCCAGGATTGTAAGAAAATATCACGAGGCATGTTGATGATAATTTATCTTTTCCTTTCATTCAGTATCAAGTTTTTATTCTGCTCTGATGGTGCCGGTGCATCCTCCTCCTTCTTGGAGATACTTGGATAAAGGACCAGAGTGCAGAACTGAATTGCTGAATGTGTATTAGAAGAGATTATTCCCCTTGAGTTGTCCATCTCTGGTGGATTAATGTGTTCTGGGGAGGGCATCTCATATCTCCACCAATACTTCTCCGAAAATGTGCTGAAACATCCCTGACTTTTGCCAAAAGTATGAAGGTCTGCAATGAGTCGAAACAACGCTACAGGTAGTTTGTGACACATGCTACTTCAGTGCAGGGTCTTTTGCAACACAGGCTGTTTCAGTCAGGTGTCTTTCATGCAAACAAAGGAGAAATCTTTTCAGGAGTGGATAGTTTACAGTTTAATGTAAAATCTTTACTGGACAACACAGTAAAGATTTTAATTCAGTTCCCAGCATCACTGAGGTCTAATATGAATCCTCCATCTAATATCACTGGTTATCTAAAGAAGCATTTTAGAAGAGGAGGCATGGGATTAAAACAAAATTGAGACGTGTCAAGTTAATTAATTTGGCCTTCACACCCTGTACCAGATCAAAAGCCTATTACATCATAAAAGCAATCTGTGAAGCTGTTTTAGGGATGTAGGGCTCTGAATCATGCATCTGAGGTTATCAGCACAATTACCCCTCTTGACCTGGCCTATGTGAGGTAAAATCACTGGCTGTGTCTAGACTGGCCAGTTTTTCCAGAAAATCAGCCGCTTTTCTGGAAAAACTTGCCAGCTGTCTACAATGGCCACTTGAATTTCCACAAAGCACTGACTTCCTACTGTAAGAAATCAGTGCTTTTTGCGGAAATACTATGCTGTTCCCGTTTGGGCAAAAGTCCCTTTTGCACAAAAGGGCCAGTGTAGACAGCTGAGATTTGTTTTCCTCAAAAAAGCCTCAATGGCAAAAATGGCGATCGGGGCTTTTTTGCACAAACGAGCGTCTAGATTGGCCACGGATGCTTTTCCGCAAAAAGTGCTTTTGTAGAAAAGCGTCTGTGCCAATCTAGATGCGCTTTTCCAAAAATGCTTTTAATGGAAAACTTTTCCGTTAAAAGCATTTTCGGAAAATCATACCAGTCTAGACGTAGCCACTATGTATAACTGAGCAGAATGGGCAAACTGCTTCCCGGGAGAGGGGGCAGTGAGCCAGTGGTGAACCCTAAGTGAGACCTCAGAGACTAATCTTCAGTTGCCAGCCAGGCAGATGGTAAATGATGGTTTCTCAATCACGCTTTGACAGATCACATGGAGTTCCCCAGAATCCCTGTCTTTCCTGGGTTTGAGCTGGTATCCTCAAAAAAAAATAAAAATTAAAACTGAAAGAAAATTGTTTGATAAAAAGCACTGAAAGGAACAATATCTATCTTCTGACCATCCATCTTTGTTCGCACTCCTCATGCAGAAGAGGCTCATGTCCCAGGTTCAATTCTGCGCAGACAACCAGGAGTCTGTTGACATTCCAGTAACTTCTACATACAGCAAAATATTCAGTAAATATTATAAAAATAGCTTACTGTGGCATACCACACCCTTGATTGCCTCAGCCTACCACCATTTAAGGCTAAAGGGTATGGAATGAGTAAGCTTCTATTACAGGTTGGTCCAGTCATTAAGGTACCAACCTAAGACTTTGCAGATGGGATTTAGTGCTCTATTCTGCCACAGACTTTCTGTATAACCTTGGGCTAGTCACTTAACATCATTTTATAGCTGAGGGAGCAAGGCCCAGAGAGGCTAATAGCAAGGTCCTACCTTGTGTGTTGTGGGAATAGATGGAAGAATGTGAAGCGGTATGAGATCTGCTGGTGAGAAACATTATAAGAGCTAGGCTTAATACTAGCAATAATAGGCATTTGTATTGATACAACCCATCCCTTTGAGGCTCAAAGAGTGCTTTTGAAACATACCTTTCTTGAAGTTTTGAGTCTGTTTTCCTCCTCATTGAGCAGGAAGTACTGAAATACCATGGAAAGGCAATTTTGCAGGCTTGGTAGCCATGGGAGCACATGTACATTTTTCTGGGAAGCTAAGCCATTCTTAAGATTTATGGGGTTCTACACAGTGCTATTAAACAGGTACCCCATACCTGATGGCAGCCTGGGGGAATGACACTTTTTTAGAGACGTGATATTATTATCTTCAGCAACCCACTAATGAAATTGTTTTAAAGTAAATTGTAGACTAACCAGTAAATTCAGAAACTGCTTGTATGTGCTTAGGGTTGGCTTCATTACCACTTGAGTGGTTCTTTCCCTGGTTCAGTGTTCTGCTAATAGCTCTGGAAGCTTTTTCACAGTTAAGTTTGGATAATCCTGAAGGTGACAATCAGCCTGATCAATACTCTGCACAGCATTGTGTGCCAATGTCTAAACAGAAAAGCAGTGGTTTCCTTTGTGTAGGAACTCTCCCATGCACAAACTTCCTTAGCAAAATGAGAGGTGGTTGCAAATAATGTTTAGTGATTGACGTGTCATTCTGTGTCTGTCTTTTGGCCAAAAAATGGATTTTGGTTTTCTTGCTACTTCCAGGGGACAACTCTTAAGAATGGGAGAGAAGGAAAGTTACAATGAGGAAATCCGCACAAACACCCTGAAAACAATCTGGATGCAGGAAATCAGAAGTATGATTTGAGATGCAGAGTAAACAAAAAGTCCATGATTTATTTATTGTACTTATTGTCGTGCCCTCTGCTAATTAATTTGAAAATGCTCTGATAATACACAGGTGTATTATTGATTGTTGTTTCACTTGCTTTCAAATAGAACTTCCAGTGAGACTTTTCAATCTATTTCCCTACTTGTAGCTCCTATCACCTTTGTGTGTAACTTGTTACTTCAATAAACACATTTTCCCGAATCACAAGTGTCTACTCTTCTACAGCAAACCCTGCTACAGGAAGGTCTATTTTAACTCTTCAGTGTTGGAAGAATCTTCATTCCAAGTCACATTACTCCTTGCTACTTTCACAACTGCTATAAGATTGCCCCCCTCTCTCTGTAAACAGTGGGGTGGTTTGGGAAAGCTTTTTATTTTTCAAAAAAACATTTATTGTAGCTGAAAATCATTTACTTTCCTGTTTGCACAGAAATATTTAACGGAAACACCAACAACTGAAAAAAAATCAGCAGCTTGGGCTAAAAGTTTTTGTTAAAATGATCATTCCCACAGAAATTTAGAGCTTAATGACAAAATCATTTTTTTGCCCCCAAAACTTTTGAATGAAACATTTCAATCACCTCTAGTACAGCTTTAATTAACACATGAGATATCAGTAGATGGCGCTCAACAACATGTAGCATAATTTCTGGGTTTTGTAGGCCCAATAAAATTTGTGATCTGCAAATGGCTTCCTTTATGCAGCTCTTTACATCTGCCATTAACAGCAGTCGCTGCAATAATACAACTACTAGGTGATTAGATTCTGCACTCTGAGATCCCTTCTCTCAGAATGAAAATTAAACAGGTCAGTCTTGAGCTATTAAATGTTTGACCTAGGGCAAGAACGCAATTTGCGGGTCTGCTCCCATTGAATTATTATTACAGATTTCAAGAGGAAGAGGATCAGCCCCTAAACCAAGGTGTCAGAAAGAAGAGATGGGGGAGTATGTGTTTGAAATGCAGCTACAGTATATAGTAAATCCTATCTCTGTCTAGCAGCCCAGTGTGGTCAGAGCTCTGCTTGATAAATCACATTCCAGCCTGAGGTGTCAAAGAAAAAAAAAGAAACTAACTAACTAACTAACTATTTTTCCTCTTTCATTCTAGTTATTTTTGACAAGCGAGGAGAGAGAGCGAGAAAGACAGAGGGAGAGGGAAAAAGCTGACGCACATTTGATATACTTTTTTGACGGCGATTTTACTTTATTATGTTTAATTGAAAAGTGTTAAAGTCATGCAACATGAATATTCAACTGACGCCTTTTGGTGGTGTTCCAGGAGTTATGATTGTCTGTGATTCTGCCGCAGCTTCACAGCACGGAGCCCTGTCAAAGTGAGAGTGACAGTGGGGAAGCTATTAATTGAAATAGCTTCATTAATTAGTAATTAACAGCAGGGTAATGACTATGTCACACATCGTATTTCAATGAATGCCCTTCATGTGTTATGGGGCCTTTAATTAAAGAATATGCATTTTAATTAACGGCAAGTTTGGCCCTTTGGCCTTTGGAATACAAAAGATGTTTCTAACTTTTGAAAAAATCAGAGGAGAAAAGGTTAGGCTTTTTAGTCTTTTATTTATTTATTTATTTTTCAAAGGCTAAGTGCCAGTAGTTTCAAAGTGAAGTCACACCAGCTGCAATTACAGGCCTGAGGTCCCAGGCCTGCTAATGGGAGACTAATAGCCATCATTCTTTCTGGAAGATCAGGTTGGATCAGCGAGTGAGAGAGTATGTAGATGTAGCTCAAATTCTGCTCGCACCAGTTTGTTACCAGAGCCGAATGCTACCAAACCCTCCGCCCTCTGTAGCTGACCCACTATCAGTGCTTCGGGCTGATCGCTTCATTTATTCCTTTTCATGCCCCAGCCTTGTTTGTGGCCCACTGAGTCAGTGCAGCGGGAGGTGCTCATTCGAAACCTTCATGAGAATGTAATGACAGAGCCGCCTGGCGGGTGGTTTTGGAACCTCCACAATAGGAAGGGATGGCAGCTCTAGCTACGGTAGGTGGGCAGAGGAAGGGCTGATGGGATTAGAGAAAGAAGGCAGACTGCAGAGTCTGTGGAGAGTTGTGCAAAGCACAGAGGTAAATTTTGAAAGACACCGAAGCCGCTGGAGATCCATGCGCATAGGGTGCGTGGCTGATGCTTCTGTGGACATATGTAACAGTGCGCATTAGTATTCCGTACTTCTTGGAATCTGGGGAGCTGGAATTGGGGAGGTGAAATGGTCAAGACAAAAGAATATGAAGGCTCAGATGTGGATTTCAGCACAGGAGGAGTGAAGGCGGTGGTAGATATAGGCAGCACTGCAGATTTGCAGATGTAAGAGATATGGTGCAAGAAGGAGTGATCCGGCTCCGTGATGCTCCCGAGGTTATGGAGAACCAAGCAACTGGGTCTTCTGCTGGCCAGTTGTCACAAGGTAGTGGATCTGATGGATCACTGGTCTGATCCAGTATGGAAACTCCCATGATACTAAGTTACTATCACATTTCAATGAATGTGAGAGGTTTAAACCACTAAACGCCTAGAAAAAGTTTGCAGTAAATGCTTAGCACGCTGTAGATTTTGTGCTCTCTACATTTTACTGGTGGGGCCCAGTTCTGATTTCTGTTCACTATAAGCCAAGGTTATATATATATGAAGTGATCCCCAACATATGCCTGGAAAGAGGCATTTGGAGACAACAATATCTACTATATATCTAAGAGTTTGTCTGTCTGTCTGCCTATTTGTTCAAGAACTCCTCCTAAACGGTAAGAGCTAAGACCATCAAATTCGGTATACAGCTTCCTGTTATCATAACATAAATCAATTTAAGGGTGCCAGGAAAATGGGATGTGCCCAGAAAATCATACAGAAAAGAGACAGAATCACCAGGTGAGCGAAAGGTGCTGGCTGGGGGGCATGCCCCCCCTCCATCTGTGACTGCCCCATCCCCGAGCCTCCCATCCCCCCACCAGATTTTCTGTAGGAAGGGTAGAAGAGAGGCAAAGCGCCCCTCCCCTTCCCCAAACTCGTATGGGGACATTGCTGGCTGTTCATCAGGGAGTGAGGGGAAAGTGTACAGTTTGCTGCATTCCTCACTCTGGCTGGGGAGTGCAGAGAACAGACAAGCTGTGCCCTCGGCTCTCACTCCCTGACAGGGAAATGAAGGGGAAGAGCAAGCAGCCCTGGTATGAATCATGGGACTGGGGGCTTTGCCCCCCTACCCTCCCTGCCCACCCCCTTACAAACACACAGTCCCCTGCTCAGAGCTCCTCCTCACCCCCAATCCTGACTCCTGCACACCCCTAGTCCCTGGCCCGAGGCCCTCCTTAGGGACCAGAGCAACACTGGGTAAATGTGCTAGTTAGCTATGCAATAAGACGAAGGGGAAGTTTAGGAAAACAGATGTAAGAGGCAATGGTTCTATCAGAACTATTTAAAGTGTCAGGCCAATTAAATAAACAAACAAAAGGGATTTGGAATTGTGTTGATAAAAAAGCATTTGTACTTTAAAACAATAATTTCAAAATTATCTTTTCTTTCTTCTCCTTCCTTTAAACAAAAATACAAACCCTGCTCCCCTGATATCCTGATATGAAAGAATCAAGAGGAAGCTTCCCAAATGGGACCTGGGCTAAGTAAGTGAGGCATTGCATTTCAAAGGGAACCAGCAGATCAAATGCAGCTCAAGAGCAACACTCACATGTCCACCCAGGGGGGCTCCTGCCTGGAGAATGGAGATGGGATAAGGAGGAGTTGGCTGCTGTTGATAATGCTAGATAAGAGGGAGAGGCGAAGAGGCTTAGGGCCTGATCCAAAGGCTGCTGAAGTCAATGAGGGTCTTTCTGTTGACTTCAGTGCACTCTGGAGTTTGCCTTTGATGTGGAGTTGTTGATTTTGGAAAACTGCAGTTGTGTGTGCGCGTGCACTCTCTCTCTCTCTCTCTCTCTCTCTCACTCTAGTCTGCAGTGCCCTTGAATGCTTGTGCTCTTCCTATGAATTTCAAGTTTTCCAGACAAGGTTTCACCAGAAAGTTGAGCAGAAAGTCCATTCAGATGAAGAAGGTTGTTGTTTCTGCCCTCACCCCATGATCCCTCTGCTCACCAACCACACCGGGCCTAATGTCCTTCATGTCCTTCTCCTGCTTCTGGGATAGTCTCCACATTACCCCGTGTGGATGAAATATCTTCCTTTCCCTGCTTCCCCAAGCCACTGTCCCCTGCTCATTCAAACCTCTCTTAGAAATACCTTTCTTCTCCTGGGATGTGTCCAAGAAATGGGCAGAGTTGGTTGGAAAATGTCCCAGAAAAGAGTCATTGCCATTTTTTGCTGAAACATTGGCAATTTGGAAAAATATCGACCAGCCCTAGAAATAAATTGTAGAACTGAAAATGTAGAGAAGAATCCACAATCTCCTTCCCAAAGCAGGAGGCCTTTTGTGAACCTATGGGCTACGTCTACACTGGCCCCTTTTCCGGAAGGGGCATGTAAATTTCATGAGTCGTAGTAGGGAAATGCGCGGGGGATTTAAATATCCCCCGCGGCATTTAAATAAAACTGTCCGCCGCTTTTTTCCGGCTTTTAAAAAAGCCGGAAAAGAGCGTCTACACTGGCCCCGATCCTCCGGAAAAAGTGCCCTTTTCCGGAGGCTCTTATTCCTACTTTGAATAAGAAATATTCCTTTGAAGTAGGAATAAGAGCCTCCGGAAAAGGGCGCTTTTTCCGGAGGATCGGGGCCAGTGTAGACGCTCTTTTCCGGCTTTTTTAAAAGCCGGAAAAAAGCGGCGGACATTTTTATTTAAATGCCGCGGGGGATATTTAAATCCCCCACGGATTTCCCTACTACGATAGGTGAAATTTACATGCCCCTTCCGGGTAAGCATCTCCAGGTAGAGACTGCCTTTATTGGTGTACATTGTACAAAGAGTACGAGCTGCCTTTGTGGGCTTGCTCTACTCTGGGGAAATGTGCCTCTCTTGGGTGGTTAGACATAGCAGATGTCCTGCAATTCCATATGCTGTGCTGGAAATTCGACCAAAACTTCTGCCAATTTACTGAGCCCACCAGCTTGAATGAATTTAAGAAACTCATGTTTTGGAATGAAAATATTGTTGTTCTTATTACACAGGAGTGCTGGAATCCTTTTGCCTGGATGTGGAAGACAGGAGAGGGATCCTGTCAGGATTACCTGTTGTGTTCCCTCCCTCTGGGACATCTGGTATTGGCCACTGTTGGCAGACAGGATACTGGACTAGATGGACCATTGGTTTGACCCAGTATGGCCATTCTTATGTTCTTATGTAATCCTTTCAGGAGTGTTTGACTTTAATTTCTGTCCTTCTAACATCTTACGCGTATCCTTCCAAACATGCACTCAAAATAACAAAATTCCAGGGAAATGGCTTGCCAGGGAACTGATGGGAGCCTAGTACCATTTGTTTCCAGGTCTACAGTTCAAACCCAGCCCAACTCATCCATGACCAAATTTATTACAATCTGACAGCTGCCCCTTGGGAGTGTGATATGGGATTGAGGACCGGGGTCGTTGAATCCTGTCTCCTGCTCTTTCAGGCAACCCCGTCATAACACTCTGTTCATAAACGTATCAATTTTAAAACTAGTTGGATATTTCTGCCCACTAGTCCTATTGGAATCCTGTTCTAGAACATCACTCCTCTGTTGGTTAGAACCATACTCTCATTTCCAGCCTGGATGTTTTCATGGCCAGTTTATACCCATTTGTTCTTGGGTCAACTTTACCCTTCAGCTTAAGTAGCTTTTCTCCTTCCATGGTTTTTACGTTTAGAGAGACCAATCACATCCCTGCCCAGCTTTAATTTTTCTTGACTAAATACGACAAATTCTGTAATTCCCTTTTCACAAGAGAGGCCCTCTAGTTTCTTGATCATCCTAGTAGCTCTTCTCTGTACCTAGTCCACTCTGAATTCAACTTTCTTGGACATACGTGACCAGCATTGTACACGGATTCCAAATGAAGTCTTACCAAAAATGAATGAGTGAGGTTGTGATTAAGTTCTGCTCCAATTTGAGATTGTGGGCAAAGTTCCCTCTAATCTTTTCCATCTCTGTGCGGAATACATTTTGTTGTGTGCACTGAGGCATGTTGGAAGGTGCACCATCAGTAGAAACAAATAAAAAAAACCACCTAGCTGTGGGCACTCTGCTACTCAGGTGGGTGACATTTGAATCTTTCCTGAGTGGCCATACAAGCACACAGCTCACACAAAACACTGGCTGTGGGGGTCAAATCTGAGGGTCAGAGGGGTGTCCAATGTTGCTCCTCATTACACTGGCATTGGGAGTGCCCAGTGCTGATGACTTGGTATCATAGCCAATAGTATATGCTGTGCATGTGTGTAAGGCTGTAGGTGCCAATGAAGGCTTGGATGGTCTGTGTTGCACAAGAGGGAAACCGCATAGGG